CGGGAACAAGGTTGACAATTACAAACAGATTTCAGAAAACCGCGATCCAGTTTCTAGGGACTGGGTTCGAACAGAGTTCAAAGAGGAAAATGCTGACTGCGTTCTCTGAGCAGGGTTTCCTGGCGCAGAGAGGCCTGGAGAAGCCATCCAGCCCCTGCCTCGCAGCCGCCCCAGCTCCCCTTTTCAGCAGACAAAACCCTGTACCACGAGGATGGTTCCAAAATGCAAACTCCCAAAGAACTTCTATTGCTTCCTTTGGTGAGCTATTTGTTTTTCCGTGGCAAGGCAAACATCACCTCGTATTTCACTCAGTTTTTTTGGTGCTGCAAGTTGAACCTCAGGAGTTCTATTGTTTTTCTTAGCTACGCATAGTAACATACTGATCAGCTTCTCCCCATCAGGTTCTCCAAAGTTAAACACAAGGGCTGCATTTTCTTAATGAGAGTACCTCCAGGCCCAATGCAGTATGGTCTGCCTGAGAAAGGTGCGTGGAAAGTTCTAGAGCTGTTTCAGTTCCTAAAGATGGAGGGAAGTAGTGTTATTCTCTGCCCCATTGAGGGGTGATTCTCCTGGCCCCTATCTCAGCCACAGCTGATTGGATCAGGGATGGGCAAGGGCTACCACGTACTGTTGTCTGGGTTGTGCACTACACAAGAAGAGGAGGGGGCAGAGAAGCCTGACTTGTGTGCCCTGGCTCAGGGTAGCATCTCTCAAGTAGCACAAATGCACCTGTGTGCTAACGGCCACCTGGGTAGATACTGGTCCAAGCTGGATCGGTTAACTTCTCTCTCTCTCCTAGGCATGTGAGATTCCTGAGATTTAGGACTGGGAAGTCCAGTAGCTGGGTCTGGGGCAGGGAAAGACAAGATTGGAGCAGACACACAGAGAGAAGGGGACATGGGAAGTCAAGCAGAGGCCCCAGACGCTGGGGTGGCCCTGTGGCTGTGATGCTGGCTCCCACAACTCCTGAGCTGGGACCTCTGAGTCATACCTGGCTGTCATGCAGCCAGATTCCTCTCTGTGACCCGGGCTGGTTCAAGTGCGTCCCTGGTAGCTGCGATCAAAAATGCTCGGCTGAGGCAAGGGCCTTGGAGGAAGCTGTTCCCCAGGTGCCTCTGTGGCGAGTGTCCTGAGTTCTGTGCCAGTCAGCGTGACTTCCCCTGGCACTCCTCCGCAGGTACAGCCTGGACACCAGGCGGCCTCACTCCCAGCTTCAGCTTTCCCCTCAGGAAATGGTTAGCCATTTGACCACATGGCTTTTCTTCTTATTTGAAAGGCAGAGGGACAGAGATCTCCCATGCACTGGTTCGCTCCCCCAAATGTCCACAAAAGCCAGGGCAGGGCCAGACTGAAGCCAGGAGCCAGGAACTCCATCCTAGTCTGCTACATGGGTAGCAGGGGTCCAGGGAGTTGGACCATCTTCCACTGCCTTCCCAGGTGCCTTAGCAGGGAGCTGAATTGGAAAGAGAGCTGTGGGGATTTGAATCAGTAATGTGATATGGGACATTGGCATTGTAGGCAGAGACTCAGCCAGTTATCCAGCTCCCTGCTAAGGCACCTGGGAAGGCAGTGGAAGATGGTCCAACTCCCTGGACTCCTGCTACCCATATAAGGCCAGTCCTGAATCAGGTGGTTCTTAGCCAATTGTTTGGCCATTTAAAAAATTGTGCCAAATTACCTAACTGACTAAATTCATTCCCCAAATAACACAACCAAAAGCATAGAATAACTCCAATAGTGATATTGCTATGTAAGTGGTATCAAATATCTGTGTAATTTTGGTTTTGTTTTATATGTGCATATTATATGACACAAGTAATCTATGCCATCTGTGCCTCAATTTAAAAGTAACCACAGGATGGCCGGCGCCGCAGCTCAATAGGCTAATCCTCCGCCTTGCGGCGCCGGCACACTGGGTTCTAGTCCCGGTCAGGGTGCCGGATTCTGTCCCGGTTGCCCCTCTTCCAGGCCAGCTCTCTGCTGTGGCCAGGGAGTGCAGTGGAGGATGGCCCAAGTCCTTGGGCCCTGTACCCCATGGGAGAGCAGGAGAAGCACCTGGCTCCTGCCATCGGATCAGCGCGGTGCGCCAGCCACAGTGCGCCGGCCACAGCGGCCATTGGAGGGTGAACCAACGGCAAAGGAAGAGCTTTCTCTCTGTCTCTCTCACTATCCACTCTGCCTGTCAAAAAAAAAAAAAGTAACCACAGGGGCTTGTGCTGTGGTGTAGTGGGTAAAGCCCCTGCCTGCCGTGCTGGCATCCCATATAGGTGCTGGTTCGAGTTCCAGCTGCTCCACTTCCAATCCAGCTCTCTGCTATAGCCTGGGAAAGCAGTAGAAGATGGCCAAGTCCTTGGGCTCCTGCACCCACGTGGGAAGACCTGGAGGAAGCTCCTGGCTCCTGGCTTTGGATTGGCGAAGCTCTGGCCATTGCAGCCAACTGGGGAGTGAACCAGCAGATGAAAGACCTCTCTTTCTGCCTCTCCTTCTCTCTGTGTGTAAATCTTTCTAATAAATAAGTAAATAAATCTTTAAAAATAAAATAAAAGTAACCACATTAAAAACCCCTCCACAATGCCACCACCTAGAGATGATCGTGTAGCACCTGGCCTCACTCCCAGGCTTTTGGTCATTATGTCCTAAGTACCTGGATTTGAAGAAGCTCTCATTGCAGTCACCGTCTTGGAGAGCCTGGGTGTGTTGATGTGCATGGTCTTTTTCCTTTTTCTTTCTTTCTTTTTCTTTTTTTTTCTTTTTTTCTTTTTTTTTTTTTTTTGACAGGCAAAGTTAGTGAGAGAGAGAGACAGAGAGAGAGGTCTTCTTTCCATTGGTTCACCCCCCAAATGGCTGCTATGGCCGGTGCGCTGCGCCGATCGGAAGTCAGGAGCCAGGTGCTTCCTCCTGGTCTCCCATGCGGGTGCAGGGCCCAAGCACTTGGGCCATCCTCCACTGCCTTCCCAGGCCACAGCAGAGAGCTGGACTGGAAGAGGAGCAACTGGGACAGAACTGGCTCCCCAACCGGGACTAGAACCCAGAATGCTGGCGCCGCAGGCGGAGGATTAGCCTAGTAAGCTGTGGTGCCAGCCGATGTGCATTCTCATCACTGACAGTTTTTAAAGCATGGGTAAAATTGCTTAGCAGGAACAATCCTAACTGGGGTGACCTATCTGGGTGACCTTCAGACACAATGAAGATGCAGGGGTACAGACTAAGAGAGGATCAACTCCACCACTGAGTTCTTTGTATTCTGTCCACACCCATCCACTTGCCAAAAGGTCCCCCATAGGGTGGGAAAGTGCTGCCTGCAGAGGGAGAAGTGGAGAGCCTTCTACTTTAGGAAAGCAGCAACAATGGCTGCCGGAGACAGCCGACGGAGCCGGCCCCTCACCTGGGAAACTCCAGTCCACCACATGGGCCCCAGAGAGGCCATGATGCTAACCAGCTTAGGAAGGTGCTGTCTCCAGAAAGCTGACAATTCAATACCCAGAGCTGCAGAGTGGAGTATTCGCTCTTCAACAGCAGGAGACGTGCAGTGAACTGCAGCTTCACCGGTTACAAGGCTGGGTTACTTTATGGGAATGGACACACCCCTTGGAAAACAATGAAAACTGAGGAGGGCTTTTGCCATTAAATATAAAAAGTGGGCAGGGAGGTGGAGCGAAACCAGAAAAAGGAGCATGGCCCCTTTGGGGCATTCCAACATGGACACTGGCGGGCTTACGTCTTCATGTCCTACCAGTCAGTCCATTGTCTGTTGCTATAGCAAATACTAGAGACAAAGTGATTTATGAAGAACAGAGGTTTAGGGGCAGGTGCTCAGTGCAGCAGCTTGAGCCACTGCTTGGCACACCTGCATCCCCACATCAGGTACTACTCCACTTCTGAGTCAGTAACTCAAGGATTCCCCACTTACAGGTTCCACCACCTCCTCTTAGTGCCACTCTGGGGACCAAGCCTGCAGCACAAGGACCTCCTAGGGAAACTCAAGCCATATACAAACACAGCAGGTAGGAAAGGCAGAACCACAGAGTCTCACAACCCAAAGGGTTATCACTGTCATCTACCCACAAATTTTAAATTGCCAGCCCAGTGGACTGCATTCCATCTGGGATGTGTCCTTACTGGCCTGCAGAAGCTTTTTGGTTTTTTGTTTTCTTTATTTGTTTGCATTAACCCAATAGAGTATTTACAAAATGCTCAAATTCCAGATTCCCTTGAAAAATGAGAAGACCTGACCACGTGGAGTCCACATTCTGACCTGTCAGTAATGAACGGGTTTTCACACTGGAAACCCTTTAGGTCTTCTGTGTCCTGTCCCAGCTGGGAGTTCCAGCTCTGCCCACCCAGAGCTTCCCAGCTACCAGTGCTTGTAGGTCACTGGACCCCAGGAGGCCATAGGAGCCTTTGGGAAGCAAAGCAAAGGGTTCCAGCTGAGGCCCCAGTGCAACTGGGAGAGCCAAGGGAGCTGCCAAGGGAGAGCCAAGGGAGCCAAGGGAGCTGCCAGTGTTGGTCATCGCAGAATTTGCGTAGGAATCTGGGAGCTTTGTGTAGGGCCAACTGCCCCCAGCCCTGGTTTCCTCCCAAGGGTCTTCCTCCTACTACACCATCCCCGAGACTGCACCCCCAGCTCCTGCTGAAGGAGTCACCTTGGAGGCTGGCTGTGCACCTGCAGAATACAAGTGCTTCGCTCCCACCAAGGTGACCCGGATAGGGCACCACTGCCGCGCGCAGAGGAAGGTGCTCAGTCTTTGGAATCGCACCATGGACGCCCAGCTACTGCGGTTTCATCCACACCCCTGCGTGAGGGCATAGAAACCCCGGGTCGTGGTCAACTCTGTCGCCTGGGGACCTGCACCACAGCAGCCGGAGCTACGGTTCCAGGCGCACCAACCAGCGGGGCGCGGCGGGGTGCGGGACCCTGCGCCTTGGCGCGGATGCAGGCGGGGGACCCCCGGGCGGAGTCGAGCGCGGGGCGGAGCGCGAGGGCCGGTGCGAGACGGTGGGCAGAGCTGCGGGGGCGGAGCGCCAACTCCAGCGGGAAGAGGGAGACCGCCACGCGGCGGGGAAGCGCGCTGAGGCGAGGAAGAAAAGGGAGACGCACGCCCATCCTCCCTACCCCCGACACGCACACACTCAGTGCCCGGCAAGTGCAGAAACCTAGCGTCCCGACCCGCGCGCACCCAGCCCGCGATCCGCGCTCGGGCCCCTGGCAGCCAAGCGCATGGCGGAGAGTGGCCGTGGAAGGTAAGTGCTCAGGTGGGCGCAGTCCGGGCTCGACGTAGGTAGGGGAAGGAGAAGGCATCCCCTAGGCAAAGGGCTCCAACGCCCACTTCGGTCTCCCGGGTATTCGGACTGCTTTGCCTTCACTCTCGGGATGAGCCTGGAGGGTGAGTTGGCTCCGGAGGTGCCCCCTTTACCCTCCAGCAGCGAGCAGGGGGCTGTAGGCTGGCGCGGACGGGCGCGCGCGCGCGAGGAGGAAGCCCCAGACCACAGGGAGGAGCATGGCCCTGCACCTGACCGAGAGGGGAGCAGAGGAGAGCTGGCGGCGTCCTCCCAGCGTTGTCTTGCGGTGCAGAGGCCCCGCGGGCTCCTGCTTCTCCAGTCGGCACTTCCGACTTGGGTCTTACCCTTGGCCGAGCACGCGCGCTCGGGTGGGGAGGGTGACACTGAGGAAGGACAGAGAGGCGGCTGGAGCGGCTCGGGCATGGCCGGGAGGACATCCCGCGGACGTGGGGCCGGGAGCTGGCCCTCCTGGGTGCATGCCTTGTCCTCCTGGGCCTCGGGACTGGAGAGCCGCGGAATGTGGCAGCCGATGGGGACACAAGTCCCACTTCTCTGTCTCCAGCTGAGTGGCGTCTCTGGGGATTGAGATCTCGCGGAAGGACATCTATGGGTGCAGATGCGAACTTTACCCCCTCAGAGATTTCCACCTAGGGCACACAGCTGGAGCGTGCGCCACAGCGTGGGGTGTCGCCAGCCCCCTGTGACTCCTGTCCCTTGCGCTCTGTTGCTTGCCACCTTGCAACCCGCCGGCCGGACACCTGAGTGGTCTCCTGGTGTGCGAAGGGATGTGGCTTCCTGGGGGCCCCGTCCCGCAGGTGTTGGGTGCAGGTCCTTCCTTCCACCTGCTGGTGTCGCCTTGCATCCTGGGGCACCCTGTCTCCTGAGGGTGCAGTCCTTCAGAGATCTTTCTTTTTTGCTTGCTTCCTCTCCAGTGGGTGCCTTGAAGCGCTGAGAATCTGGGGGCTTAGGTGGGGAAGGAGAGTTCCACACTCAGAGCCTCCTGGGTCCCCTTCCCCACCCTTGGGGGCTGTTTTTAGTTAAGCCAGGCCTCGGCTGCCACCACTTATGGGAGTCACAGACCTTGGAGTGGGGGAAGAGATGGTGCCTCCCATGCATGGTTGACTCTGGGTGGGGGTCTGGAACCTGGTGAAGAGGGGAGGGAACAGATCCAAGTAGTGGGGGGCAAGGAGAGGGCACAGATAAAGGGCTTCTGTAGCTGGTTCCCAAAGAGCAAGGGGACAGCAGAGAATTGCTTCCCACCCACACCCCACCTCCATCTGCAGAGTCCTGGTCAGGGCCACATGCATGCATCCAGCAGATTCCCAGCGGCCTCTGCTATGTGCCAGGGCAGTGGGAATTTGCTTTACGGGAAGACTGGGGCTCTGAGAACATAAATCACTGGTCCAGGATGATTCAGCCTCTCCATGCAAAAATGGGTTTTGTGATTTCCAAGTCCGTGGTTTGGTCAGGACAAAGGGGAGCAATGGCCTGCTTGAAGGAAGGACCCTGGAGAACCCCGGCCCTCCTGCTTCAGTGCCCTTGGCCAGCAGCTGGCCCAAGAGCGGGACGGCTGGAGACGCCGGGGCCAGTTGCCAGAAGCAGTCTTGGGAAACTTCCAGCAAGCCCTGTGGGGGCTGATGAAGTGGTGAGGGTTGGGGGCTGCCTGGGACTCCTGGGGAAAAGGACAACAGTTGCACATTCTTCGTGGGTGTTGCTGGGGTGTCCAGTCCATCCTGTCCCCTGGCCTTCCTGACAGCTTGGCCTACAGGGAAGAGCTCACATCCCTTCTCCCCAGCACCCTGGATGGCTGTGAGGGTGGGCAGTGGGTCCCCGGGATCTCTGGAGGAATGCTACCAGATGTGGTGCATGTGGCCGACTGCTTATGTCTCCTTCCAGGACCCAGGATGGCGTGTCAGTGCTCCCCAGGGATGTGGGCAGGGTGCTAGGCTCACTGTCGCTGTGAGACCAAGGTCTACAGCCCCAGCTCGGCACACTCGGACCTTGTGCAACTCTTTCACAGTGCTCCACCTGCAGGCATCACCATGGCAACCCAGAATGGAAACACTAGTTTTGCACCCAACTTTAATCCTCCGCAAGACCATGCTTCCTCTGTCCACTTCAACTTCAGCTATGGCGATTATGACCTCCCTCTGGATGAGGAAGAGGATATGACCAAGACCCGGACCTTCTTTGCAGCCAAGATCGTCATCGGCGTGGCCCTGGCGGGCATCATGCTGGTCTGTGGCATTGGCAACTTTGTCTTTATCGCTGCCCTCGCCCGCTATAAGAAGCTGCGCAACCTCACCAACCTGCTCATTGCTAACCTGGCTATCTCCGACTTCCTGGTGGCTATCATCTGCTGCCCTTTCGAGATGGACTACTACGTGGTGCGCCAGCTCTCCTGGGAGCATGGCCACGTGCTCTGTGCCTCCGTCAACTACCTGCGTACCGTCTCCCTCTACGTCTCCACAAATGCCCTGCTGGCCATCGCTATTGACAGGTGAGGACATTGGGCAGGGGGCAGGGACCGAGGCTAGGACAGGCTGCTGCTTTCCTCACTTAGGCTCTGGCAGGCTGGCCCTGATTTGCCAAGGGGCAAGTGGAGACCTTGCTTCTCCAGTTGCGTTCTGTTCCTGGAAGTATGAGTGAGAGTGAGGCTCCTGATGCCCCAGCTCTGGGCCGTGCCCCTAGATGCCAAGTCTGCTTCAGATACAGCCACCACCACACAACAGCACATGGCGTCAAGCACAAAGGCAAAAGCAGAAAGTTCAGAACAGCTACTACTTAAAAGCTACGTGACAGTTAACCAGGGCAGCTTCCAGTCATTTCATATATACAAAGTTTTTCCTGTAACCACCACCCAGGTTGAAGCATAAAACTTTCCCATCACCTAGAAAATATCCTTAGGCCCCTTACATTCTCACCCTAGGCAAACCATGGACCTGATTTCGATCCTGAGTTCTGACTTGCCTGTTCTTTAATGTCACAAAACAGGACTCAGACACTGTGTGCTGTCTTTTCCAGTGACTTTGTTACAGCGCTGGTTTTAAAATAAGATAAATTGCTTTGTTGCATATAGGGGCGTGCATACATTTGTGTGAAATGTTCCAAATTTACAGCAGTAGCTAATGACAAATAGGGCACACATTCTGTTTATGTGACAGGGGTGGGCCAGGGGCTGTGTTTGGAGGGGACAGTCGGTGTCACACCCTCGTCGTCACTGTCCACATCGTGAGCTATACCAAAACTCATTTTCCTGATGTGCTGAATCATCTTTTTCCCCTTTTGTCTCCTTTCAACTCTTAATTTTCCCTGTGTTCTTGGGGCTGTTTAGGCTTGTTGTCCTTTTTGATCAGCCAGGTTGTTACTTTTATTATTTTTCTCTTATGGGGACAAATACACATCATGATACAAGAAGCACCTTCTTTTTTATAACAATTCCTGCAGGAAACACTATTTTATTACAACGCTCTCTGACGTGTTCCAGCCCTGAACCCAGCATTTATGAAATGTGTACGTGGCATTCCACTGCACAAAATTCTCCAGGGGAAATGAAACAAGCTCTCATTTGATGCAAAATCAGCCTCCTGAAGGGGAACCCCTTGGGCTGGGTCCCAGGAATCTGCATTTGTACCCAGTCCCTTGACTGACTCTGAAGCTCACCGAGGTGAGAGTCATCCCTGTTCTCCTCATCCTATTGAAACCTCTGCCTTCAAGGTGCTGGTTTTGTTTTGTTTTCTGTAGCATTGGGGTCTCCTGGGAAGCAATCATCCTGGTACAGTGTGGCAGAAAAGAGTGGATCCTTTTTCACCCCAAACCAGTTCTACCCAAGTCAGCCTCTGAGCTCCATTGGAAGTTCTGGCTTCCCTCAGTCACCCACACAGGAAAAGCCACCACCACCCCATGCGTCTCCCCCTGTCCCACCCTCCATCAGCCCACCCTGGCGTTCAGCCCTGCACCAAGTCCTGGCAGTTCTCCAGCTTCATCTCTCGACAAGGAATGGCTGGATCATCATGCTCTTCTAACCTGTCCATTCCCCACCCCCACCAGCTCCTGCTGTCCCCTGAGATCCACATTCACCATCAGAATATCATCTCCCTCAAACATCCCACTGCTTACAAAATCTCTCAAAGTCCCAGAGCCTACAGAATACAGAATACAGAGCCAAATCCTGGACCCAGTACTCCGTGCCCTTTGCAATCTGATGCCAATCACTCTTTCCAAACCCATGCTATGTAACAAGATACAGAACCTTTTCCAAAAGACCATGCATTTCCAGTGTGATAACCGTGACTTCTATCTTCTGTCTCCACAGTGCATAGCACAGAGCCTTATATCTGAGTCCTAGCTTGAGTTACTTCCAAAACAGACACTGAGATGTTGAGATAAGGATTTGTGTGCAGGCAGCACAGGGGGTGCCTGCAGGGGAGGGAGATATGAGGCAGAGAAGGGGAGGCATTGCGACAACAGAGGGTGCATTATTAAACAAGTCTCCATTCGGAGCCAGGGTGGACCACAGCTGAGAGTTCTCCCAGGCCTGGGAGGTGGGAGGTGGGACATTCACATACCAGTGCTCATAAATCACAGGTGAAGGCTACCCTGGAAATACTGTAGTGAAGAGGACTCTGAAAGCCCTCAGCAAAGAAACGTAGATGTTGGCAGATGGGAGTGGACAGGTGTGTACTAAGATGACAAGAGCTAAGGGATGAGAGAGGGACACTGACAGCATCTGCTCCAACCTAGGAGACCCACAGCAGACTGCTGGGTCCTGCCATGTGCCCAGCTTATGTATGTGGAAACACAGAGCAATAGAAGACATCGTCACTGGTGGCCAGGAGCTTTTCTTCCTCACCAGCACTAGACTTATTAAACATAAAGACCAGTGGAGAGATAAATCCAAGTAACTTAAAGGAAGACACGCTTGTTGTGTCACTGATATGGTCTGGGAAAGCTTCATGGAAAAGATGGTGAGACTCAAGGGTGCTGCTCTGATCACCTCCTGTTCACTTCATTTTGAAGGGGGCATTGTCTCACCTAATACCAAAGGACCAAACACGTGACACTCGATGTTGGACACCTGAGATTAACAGCAGGGACTCCGTCACATGCCCTCTAATTAGTCATACTATCCACTATGCAAGGCCACCTAGGAGTTGCACTTGGAAAAGGAGCAAACAAGTGGGGGCTGTAGGTTTTGTAGAGACAAGAGGGAGGAGTGGCCCCTGGTCCCCGTGGAGGACATGATGGACTTGTGTGAATACTTTTGTGAACTGGCAGGGAGAACCCTGGTTAGGATGTGGATTGCAGATGCAGCTGGTCAGCTGATAGCAGGATGGGGATCCTTTCCTGCTGGGTAGGAAGGTACATCCGGCAGGGGCAGGGGAGCCCACAGCCTGGAAGGCTCAGAGATGCCAAGGCAGCATGTGGTGTTTCAGGCCTGATGATACAAGAGCCGAGTGAGTAGCATCCCTCTTTCCTCATCAGGTTCAATTCCAGTTGAAACCAAGCAAAGTGGTAAGAAAGATGGACAGGCAAACACTCAGCTTTGTCCTGATGATGCTGGTTTTGGAGAATGGGGCTTCAGTACCGCTTAGTGAGACAAGTCTGTCCTACAGTGTAGAAATGCCAGAAGGGCCACCTAGTGTCAGTTCTGTGTACTGCAGCCAGAATAGCCGGCTCGCAGGGAAGGCCTTGAGAAACACATCCAAGCAGACAGCAACAAAGGCCTTGCAGCTTCCCTCTTGCTAATGAACAAGTCATGGTAAATGGTCAAGTTAAACAAACCACCCTCAATTCCAGCATGTGGTATGTAGACATAACCTGATCAGAAATCTGCAAGATGGTCAATAAAGTTATTATCATCCCCACTTCCCAGACGAAGAAGCTATATCCCAGGAGCATGGCTAGAATCCAGATTTTCTGAATAACTTCTAGGCAGTGTTCTTTCTGATTTGTGTGGTACCAACCTTAGTTTTAGAGCACCCTACAGAATGAGGAAGGTGTTATTCCTCATTCTTCATTGTTGCCTGGTGAAAACTTTATTAGACCTGTGATGTCTGTGTCATGTCAAGCCACTAAGTTGTGGTCATCTGTTACAGCAGCAACAGGAAATGAATTCACTCAGCCAACAATGATTGCCAGATGTCCCTGTACTGGCTGAGGAAGGGACAGCCTCATTTGTCCTCTCCAGCTCTGTGGGCCTTGTTCCACCCAGTCTAGTCACGTAGGACCCAGTCTGGCAAGACTGGGTCCCAAGGATGGGTGAGGATCTCCAGCAACCATGGCACATGTTAATAATCTGAGGTGTAGCAAGTGGCTGGGATGAGCTCTGGTTAGCCCTAGAGCCTCATTGCCATGGGATCTCCTAGTGGAATTCAAGGGTCAGAGCCAAGAGAAGATAAAACAACCTCTTGGCTGAAATGTTGGCAGGGACAGGAAGAAATAGCATGGCAGAAGGCCTTCCTAGCCCCAAGGGAGACTTGGGGGGGTGGCCAAAGGGCCCGATTACAAAGCAAAGGTAAGTTGGATAGAACTTTCTACTAGCAGCTTCCTGCCCTGGGCCCCACCAGACTCAGGTACAGGGCACACATTCAGCCCCAGAGTTGATTTGTTTCCTCACCCCATAAAAGGTAAAGAGATCGCCATAGGTGCTGTTGGGTGTCTGGAAAGAAGATATTCAATCCACACAAAGGAGCTCATTTCCCAGCGAGGGCTCCAGGCTCCTTCCCAGACAGTGTGGCTCACTGGAAAGAGCAGGGGAAGCCTTAAGAAGTCAAGGTGGCACCTTCTCATGTGAGCTTCAGAGGCCCTGGGGAGGTGTGTGCAGATGCCTGGATTCAGGCCCCTGCATAATGTGAGGTTGGGGAAGACATTTAATCTTGATGCAGGCTGACACCTGGCGGGCAGGGCCGACAGCCCTCAGGCCCTGACCGAGTACCACCCCCACTTCTCTCTCAGATGCAGGACCCCTCCTTCCCTTTAAACTGCAAGATAATTGAAATGAAGACCCTTGAGCATTACGTTCTTAGGCAGAATGGCAGGACTGAAAATGAAAGTTGTACAATAGGACTCTTCATAGTCGTCGTTTATTTTATGGAACATCTTCTACACACTTTGTAAACACTATCATATTTCCTGCATACACCAGCCCTGCACAGGTGTCATCCCAGGTTCCATTTGAGGAAATAAGTATCAGAGAGATTGAGTAATTCATGCTAGACCTCTACCAAAGCTGATCGGGGAAGAAGCCGGGGCAGAATTTACTCAGCCTGTTTGACCTGCAGCCTGTGCTCTCACATCTCTCTCCTGGATCCAAGAACCAGATGATGTTGCTAGAATAAGATGAAGATCGGAGAAGCTATTGATGGATACATGGGGTTCACTATGCCCATCAGGCAGGTTTTGTGTGTTTGGGGTCAGTTTAAAACCACTCATGTGTCCAAGCAAACTTCATGATGGCCTTTGCCTCCTATCCCCCGCCAGGTATCTCGCCATCGTGCACCCCTTGAAGCCACGGATGAATTACCAGACGGCCTCCTTCCTGATCGCTCTGGTCTGGACGGTGTCCATCCTCATCGCCATCCCGTCAGCCTACTTCACCACGGAGACTGTCCTCTTTATTGTCAAAAGCCAGGAGAAGATCTTCTGTGGCCAGATCTGGCCAGTGGACCAGCAGCTCTACTATAAGTCCTACTTCCTCTTCATCTTCGGCCTGGAGTTCGTGGGCCCCGTGGTCACCATGACCCTGTGCTATGCCAGGATCTCCCGGGAGCTCTGGTTCAAGGCTGTGCCTGGCTTCCAGACGGAGCAGATCCGCAAGCGGCTGCGCTGCCGCCGGAAGACGGTGCTGGTGCTCATGGGCATCCTCACGGCCTACGTGCTGTGCTGGGCGCCCTTCTACGGCTTCACCCTCGTGCGCGACTTCTTCCCGACCGTGTTCGTGAAGGAGAAGCACTACCTCACTGCCTTCTACGTCGTCGAGTGCATCGCCATGAGCAACAGCATGATCAACACCGTGTGTTTCGTGGCGGTCAAGAACAACACCATCAAGTACTTCAAGAAGATGCTGCTGCTCCACTGCCGTCCCTCCCCCCAGGGGAGCAAGTCCAGCGCCGACCTTGACCTCAGAACCAGCGGCATGCCCGCCACTGAAGAGGTGGACTGCATCAGGCTGAAGTGACCTGCTGGTGTCTCACGACTGAAAACCCAGATCCAGTGCTCAGAGCGTCACATGCCACCCACCAGGTGCCCGGGCTGCACGGGGAGGGACAGCTGTGTTGCTGATTCTAAGCCAGAACCTGCAAGGAAAGTAGATGCAAACCATAGCGGCTGACACTCCCTGATATCTGCTGAACACCTACTGTGTGCGCAGTTTTGGCCACGAGATTAGACACAGGTGGCAGCAACTGACACGGAATCCCTACTGCGTACAAACCACACCAGTGAGATTAGACAAGGACAATAGGAGCGAACCTTTACTGATATGCACAGGCATTAAAAAAAAAAAAAAAGCAGACCCTAGGAAAGTTGTCAAACTATGACCAGATATGTTTAAGTGACTAGACAGAGGCCACAAATGATCATGCGGACGCATCCTCCTTGCTTCATCATTCTCTGTCCTAGTACAGGTACGTCAGAGGTTTATAGAGGAAGGTCCTTGGATGCAATGGCGGGGGGAAGTTCATCAGTGTGGGGTTTACAGCCTCATGGGAAAAGAGTTCACACCACGATATTGGGCTTTCCCGCCCAGCTCCTGTTAGCTCCTAAGACAGTCTCTAGGGAAGGTATTTTTCTTGCAACTGGGCCAACCTGGTATGTTTATCTACAATGGTTTCATTTCAAAGGAAAGAACCAAAAATTCTTTCCCACCCATGCTTGAAAGCCCATCGTTCTTTCAGGTGAAGACAGGCAACCCCAAGACGGACACATCTAGTTCCTGCATCCTCAGTGCAAAGGATGTCAAAGGCTCTGAGGTTCGGGAGGAAAAGGACAGGGAAAGGGATGGAGGTTGCTGCTGGCAATGAATGTAATCGGTGCGGCCATCTTTCTAGAATACATCATCTTATTCCAAGACCTGCTTCAAGTCCTAACTCTCAGACTCACGGGGCCTGGATGGCTCCTCTCTCTGGGTCTCAGTTTTGTTTTCATGAAATGGGGATGAGGAAAATAATCTATTCTGCCTGCCTCAGGACCACAGGAGAGCCCACAGGGCTCGTGGCTGCCAGCCCTGCCTTTCAGCCATCAGTGTGCTGAGAAGGGACAGCGACAGTGAGCAGTTGGTGTGGAGCGTGTTTGTCTGCAAACACCATCCTCTCTGGTCTAGTGCGAGAAATCGCCCCTGCTGTTTCACCCCCCTCTGTTCTTTGGACCGGAGACCGCTTGACCCCTTCCCAGGGCAGCCCGAGGAATCTCTGTCCTGGATTCTAATCAGAAAGTGTAACCTCAGGGTCTCAGAGCCCACAGGCGCTCAGCCTCCCTGGGGTGTCAGAAGTGCTGGCATCTTTCCCACATGTTGCCATCAGCTCGCCCGGTGCTGTGCAAGCCTTGTTTCTGAGTCTACGCTCCTGCGTGTCCGTAGTGACCGTGTGTGCGTGACCGTCTCTTCCCGACTCATTCTGAAGCAGAGTCTGCGCAAATGAGGGTTGATCTGCCCATATCTGGTCCACTCCTAATTTTCTGTCGAGAAGGGATTATTATTTGTGTGTGTGTTTTAATTATCTGTGAGTTTCTTTATCCAGCTGTGAGATTTTGACCACCATTTTTTCTGTCACCATTCAGCTGACCCCTCTTCGGTCCAGTTACTGACCCTCAGAAAAGGCAAACTCACCACAACGTTAGCCTACGCAAGATGGCTTATAAATGGTGACTTTAAAAAAACGAATGCATTCCGAAGCCAAGCAAACTATCTACATTTTCACAAACAGAATAATAACTGTACTATGTTGATTACCGAACCCTGACTCTTCTCCTGGTAGGATGCTGTAGGAGTAGACTGCACAGTGTAGCTTGTCAGTAGAATTCATCCCCTTTGCTCTTTTCATCCTAACATGTACCATCCTTCTTACATTGAACTGACTTGTAAATATCAGTGTGTATTTGTGATTTTTCCAGTGAATAAAACTGTGATGCTGTTATCAAATGAAGTCACTAACGTGGGCATCTTAACCGCCGGGTTCAAGTGTTTTCCTTGCTTATCTTTTCTGTCGTGTCAATGTACTTGGATGTTCATGAATAGCCATTTCAATAGTTCAACCTTGAAACACAGAAGACATTTCAGAATTCTGGCAGCTTGCACCAGCCCTTAGCTTCATTTTATAATATCCCTGAAGCTTAGTGTCTGCAAATAAGCAGGGAACCACTTTACTGCGCCATTGTCACTCTTTCATTTAAGAAATGGCCTTGTTTCTTAAGTGGAAGCTGCTGTTTGAATAGCCTCCACTCATCTCTCCAACCAGCAATAAGGTAATAAGTTAATTGTACTTGTGTTTACTTTTTTCTTCTCAAGTCTAATTAAGATATATACACATTTATACCTATTGTTGCATTTTTAAAAAATAATCTCATTAGCAAGACAGATGCACTTCCTCAGCCAGAATAAAAGATGGCTCTGTGATGAAGCCATCCAGGGAAAGTTGGGCCCAAGCTGCTGGGCACTGGATGGTCCATTCACCAGAGACAAGAGCTGATGCAAGGAAACAGGTTTACTCAAGAGGTCAGTATCTTGGGGAACAAAGCAAACCTCTTCAGTCCCAAAAGTGTTCTTTCCACATCTGCAGGTTATCAGGGGCTTTAAAAGAAGAAAGGGGAGGTAGGGGGGTGCTTGTTGGACAGGTTTCTATGGGTCCATCCTGATAGCCATCCTGCCACGTAAGTGGAGGCATCTTTGATATAATGCTTGGCTATTTTCAGTTGATGGGCATAAATTCCTTCCTGGGGCCAGCGCTGTGGCATAGCAGGTAAAGCCACCGCCTGCAGTGCCAGCATCCCATATGGGCGTTGATTTGAGTCCCAGCAGCTCCACTTCCAGTTCAGCTCTTTGCTACGGCCTGGGAAAGCAGTAGAAGTTGGCCCAAGTCCTTGGGCCCCTGCACCCACATGGGAGACCCAGAAGAAGCTCCTGGCTCCTGGCTTCGGATTGGTGCAGCTCTGGCCACTGTGGCCATCTGAGGAGTGAACCAGCAGATGGAAGACCTCTCTCTCTCTCTCTATCTCTGCCTCTACTTTTCTTTGCAACTCTGACTTTCAAATAAATAAATAAATTTTTTAAAAAGCACATGCCCATTAGCATTGATTTATTAAAAATATACTTTTTGAATATGTAATTTATTTTCTATATATAGTTGAGAATGAGGATTTATGTATATATCCTTATTATATATATATATACACACTCATTATATATATATATACACACTCTCTCTCTCTCTCTCTCCTCTCTCTCTCATTATTAGAGTCCATGTTTGTGAATTTGCTTATTATGGACTAAATTTTATTTTTAACCCCAAAAATCAGTATACATGATACTTTCACAGTCATTTTTTAAAAAATATTTATTTATTTGAAAGAGCAACAGAGAGAGAGGGAGAGACAAAGAGAGAAAGGGGTCTTCCATCCGCTGGTTTACTCCCCAAATGGCTGCAATGGCCAGTGCTTGGCCAGGCCAAAGTCCAGGGCCATGAGCCCCCTCTGAGTCTCTCATGTTGGTGGCAGGGGCCTGAATATTTGGGCCACTTGCAAGGAGCTGGATCAGAAGTGGAGCAGCTGGGACTCAAACTGGCACCCACATGGGCCACTGGCATTACAGGCAGCCACCACAGCTGTTCCTGTACATGCACAAACTAGTGGAAAATCTGAGTAATCCAACCCACATGATCCCAGTTGAGGCTGAACAAGCTGCCACGGTGCCTTCTTTTATAGCTCTCCTAAAGCAAATGAGTGTCCTTTTCAAGGTCTATTTAGTGGTACATCTTTTACATTTCTGTGTCTTTTGTTGGTTATTTCACTGCTTACCATGGCCCTCAAGTGCAGGGCAGAAGCGCAGTGCAGTATTTCAAAGCACAAGAAGATTGGGATGGGTTTTACTGGGGACACACGTGTGTTAGACAAGCTTTGCACAGGCTCAAATGACGTTGTTGGCCGTGAGTTCGGAGTTGATGAACCAAAAATACATATTCCATAAGGTGTCTTTAAACAGAAACACATGATAATATACTGATCCATTGTCCAAAGTCTCGCGACCATTGTGTGCAGGAATCTAATCTCGCACTTCTCTGAGAGCAGAGGTTCATCACTAACTCAGCACTCGGGATGGCTTTATAGAACACAGATTCTGTGAACAGTGAGAATCAACTGTAGCCTGTGAATCCAAAGCTTCTTTATCACAAGACATAACTTTGGGTGCTAGTTGAACAAAACCATAGGGTCCAAGCTGATAACTGGCCCAGCTGCCACTTAGCACAGCTTCCCTTCTGCCCCTCCCTCCCACTTTGATGCAAATTGAAACCCCTTGGAAAGCCAGGTCTGCAATGAAAATTCATGCAATTAAACAAACCACAGCCCACACTTTCTGGGGACCACATGTCTAGGAGAGCAGGCTTTTTTCAACCATTGAGAGGAAAAAACTGAACTTGAAAGCTACAGCTCATCTGTTCTAGTGTTGCTGTGGAATAGATGGAAGAAAACCACACACTCTCCCCATCCCAGACTGAAAAGGAGCGTAGCTTTGGGCTAAGACTTCAATTGAAATGTGGCCGTTTCAAAGCTTTTCAAAGTCTACCTCTGCGGAGCTGAGTGAACAGTTATTAACAGATGGTGCTACTTCTTGCTCTCGAGCACCTAGGTGCACATCAGGAAGGGGAGAGAGTCAGACAACAGAAAGGAAACGGTGCTCTTCCACATAAGAGAGAAATTTAACTCCACTGAAGGCATGTGGCCTTGAAAGTCATGGGGCGTGAGGAAAATGATATTCTGCCTCCCTTGTGCTTCAGTTGTCTGACAGCTGCCATTTGTCCTTGGAGAGAGGAGGTGGGGCGGCAAACAGTCACATGCTTTTCCTCCTGATCCGACAGTCACTCCTGGGAAACTGAGGGATGAAGAGACTCGCCTGCAAGGTGTGCAGATGTAGAGAAGCACTGGCAGGAGGAGCTCCTCCTGGGCTGCCCGGTGAGAGTCCCTGTTCCCCGGGAGTCCCCAGGGCATTCTCAGCACCGGGGAAGCTGTGGCCTGTGGGAGACGGGTGCATCCCGGGGGAAGCACACACCCCTTGGGTGGGCAGTGCAACTCCTGAAAGCGTGAGTGGGGAGCACCATGATGAGAATTATAGAGAAGTCACTGCTCCATTAGAGGAGTGATCAAGACACCAACATCTGCGCCCATCCCTTCCATTCAATCTGTACTAGAAATCACCACAATAAGACAGGCCAAAAAAAAAGATTTGACAATTAGAAAAGAAGAATGCAGGCCGGAGCCGTGGCTCACTAGGCTAATCCTCCGTCTTTCGGCGCCGGCACACCAGGTTCTAGTCCCGGTCGGGGTGCCGGATTCTGTCCCGGTTGCCCCTCCTCCAGGCCAGCTCTCTGCTGTGGCCAGGGAGTGCAGTGGAGGATGGCCCAAGTGCTTGGGCCCTGCACCCCATGGGAGACCAGGAGAAGCACCTGGCTCCTGCCATCGGATCAGGGCGGTGCGCCGGCTGCAGCGGCCATTGGAGGGTGAACCAACGGCAAAAGGAAGACCTTTCTCTCTGTCTCTCACTGCCCACTCTGCCTGTCAAAAAAAAAAAGAAAAAAAAAAAAGAAGAATGCCATTGTCATTATTTGTAGGTAATGTGATTATTTATACAGGAAACATAAGAAAATCTAATAAAAACTAATAGAACAAAAGAAGAGACCTCAGCAGACTAGCAAAAGTCAAGCCAAGATAAATTTTTGAAGAGACTTATTCTATCAATGAGCAATATTTATTATAAGCCATATTAAGTAAAAAAGTGAGGTATTCATTTTTTATACATACAAATAGATCAATGAAACAGAATATAAAGCTACAGATTCAGCTAGGATGATAGAAGACAGTAGATATGAATAGACAAAATCAAGTTTTCTCCAAAACATGGAATTTAAGACCCAAGAGCTAATTTATTCCTAGTTATAATGAAATAAAAAAATCACCCCCTCCTACCTGCCCTTACACTCTCACGTGGAGGTGCTAGAAGGGGTAAGAAAGCAAAACTGTGAGCTGCACCCCCTCCCCATCTTTGCCCCCTGTTGAAGCCTGGAGAGAGGCAGCAGTGTTTGGGAGTTGAGAGGAGAGCTATGTGCGTATGGATCACCAGCAGTATAAATAGCAGGCATACAGCATGGAGCCTTGTGGCCTGGCTATGCCAGGTACACACCTCATAAACCATGTCACAGAAGCTCCCCTGTCAGAAGGCTGGCCCATGGCTGACCCTACCCAAACCCAGTCAAATATCATATATCACTGTCTCAGTCTGTTTTCTGTTGCAATAACTGGATACCAAAGACTAGGTAATTTATAAAGAAATTCATTTCTTACAGTTCTGAAAGTGGGGAAGTCCAAGGCCAGGTTAGTGGTGGCAGCAGGGGGCAGGGGCACATCTGGGGAGGTCCTTCTCACCCATAGGGACTTCCTGCAGAATCCCGAAGTATCTCAGAACATCACATGGTGAGATATAAGAGCCAAAGAGCTGGTGCTGTGGCGTAGCAGGTAAAGCTGCCACCTGCAGAGGCAGCATCCCATATCGGTGCCGGTTCTAGTCCTGGCTGCTCTGCTTCTGATCCAGCTCTCTGTAATGGCCTGAGAAAGCAGTAGAAGATGGCCCAAGTGCTTGAGCCCCTGCGCCCATACGGGAGACACGGAGGAAGCTCCTGGCTCCTGGCTTCGGATCGGCGTAGCTCCAGCCATTGCAGCCAATGGGGGAGTGAACCAGTGGGTGGAAAACCTCTCTCTCTCTGCCTTTCCTTCTCTCTAACTCTTTCAATTAAATAAAATAAATCTTAAAAAAAAAAAAAGAGTAAGAGCCAAACTGGATTTTGTGACAGAGCCACTCTCAAGATAATCCATTAGCCCACTAACCCATTAATCTATTAATAAGGGCAGAGTCCTCGTGATCTAAAACTTCCCGAGGACCTTACCTGGTCCCACCTCTTCAT